ATTTCATTGCCTATTGTGCAATATAATTGTAAAAACAATCAGTTACACGCTGTCGACGAAAAACCATATTTTAGATACACGGTTAAAAATTTCGGTTTTCATTTTAAACTTTTTGGACTACATATATGACCAAACTAAATTTAGTTTCAAATACAAACTTTCCAAGTTTAAAAGAAAGAGAGCACATATGTTGGGTTTAGAATTTAAACAGTTCGGTTTAAATTTTAAACCCAAACATTTTCTCTTTCGTTTGCTTCACGTTACACTTCACGAAAGCTTTTCCATAATTAAGAATAAAAAAAAATAATCTTAAATTTCATGTTCCGTCTGATGGGTATTGAACCCGGACAGCCTTGGTAGCAACCAATTGTATCAAGCATCTTTGCATACTCAGCTACAGCCATGGATGTAAGTGTGCTTTCAAATGTTGATTTTGAATCAACACCACATTTCGCTGTGTTGATGCCGTCAGTTCATAAGATTTGCTCTCTCTCTCTGAGAGACGCCCTTATGCCAATTGGTATATTGAGGCAAACATTTTTTATTTTGGTTTAGATTTTAAACAAAATTTTCTATATTTGAAACCTAGAAACTAGAATTAAAACTTTTTGGTTTGATTTTTAAACAAATAGGGCCTATATTTGAAACCACGAACTTTTTGGTTTTAATTTTAAACCACTCATAGCAAAACATCATTTTCTCGGCTTCTTGGACTAAAATTTAAACCAGAATATATTAAAAGTTGCTTAAAACTATTGACTGGTTTAAAATGTAGACTATAAAAGATTAAAAAAGGCAGCAGTCCCAGCTAGGTTTAAAGATTAAACCCAAATTTTAGACCGTGTACATACACTGGTGGAAAAAATAATAGAAACAAGCGATTCGTAACTTTTAAGTGTACAAATTGTTTAACGGAGCGTTTAATCGGAGTCGGCTTTGCTGTAAAGTACCGTTGTCTAACGCTACATTTCTTGACAAATTGCTTGCGTTGTCTGTTCAGTTTCTCAGTGCTTTTTGAACATTGAAGTGAGACCTACGCGTAGTTTTGTGAAAAAAAACATGGAAACAAATCAAGTTTCATTTGCGATGTAAGTAAGCCATTCATTTTGCATTTCAACTTAAAAAATACAAATTATCTCGCTGTTTTAGTAAAACTTTATACTAACAATAGCAAATACATAAAACATTCAACTGAATCGGAGCAGAAATTGATAAAATGCTTATGGAATGCCGGAAAACCATGGACCAAATTGCCGGAATTATGAAATGCTCAAAGAAAAAGGTGTTCACAACTGTCCACGCACATGTAAAAAAAAAAACCAGGGGCATAAAGCGAAAAACTACAGCTTATCTGGGGGGCTACTCTGTAATGCGATGCGAAAGAGAAATGCGCTGCGATAGGCAATCGCCAGAGTGTATTACTTACGACGAATTTGCCTATCGCATCGCATTTCTCTTTCGCCTCGCATTACAGAGTAGCCCTCCAGGACAAATTGATCGTACGACAAATCAAAAAGGATCCATTCAGCACTTCAGGGGATATAAAAAGAAACATGCAGGTGGAAGTGAGAAGCCGAACAATCAGATATAGGCTAAAAGAGGCAAGATTACCAGCAAAAAGTCGAAGAAAAGTGCCATTACTTTCAAAAAAGAATATCAACCAGAGACTTTCTTTTGCGGAATGACATTTGCATCGCGAACACTGGTTACATATCCTCTGGTCGGATGAAACCAAGGTAAATATGTTCGGGTCTGATCCTAAGTTCACCAAAAAAAAAAAGAGTCCAACATGGTGGTGAATCAATAATGTTATGGGGCTGCTTTTCTGCATTCGGTGTAGGTAGGCGCCACGGACTAAATAAATATTTTAAATACATCCATGCTTCCATTTGCTAGAGAGGAGATGCCTATAAAGTGGGAGTTTATGCAAGATAATGCACCCCAAACATTCATCAGCGGTTGTTAAGGCATGGATGAGTCGCGCTCTATATCCCCAATCTTTCTTCTTAGTATGCCCCATAGATGTTCTACAGGGTTAAGGTCTCGTGACTGTGAAGGCCACTCCACTCGGCCGCTGTGGTGTAGTGGTAAGCAGTGCGCGCTTCCACTCTGCAGCACCTGTGTTCAAGCCATGGTCAAAGCAACATAGCAAAAAAATATAGAAAAAAGGTCTTTTCTTAACAGCGGTCGTCCCTCGGCAGGCAATGACAAACCTTCGAGTGCATTTCTGCCATGAAAAACAGCTTCTCATAAAAATACAATTGCCGTTCGAAGTCGGCGTAAAACTGTAGGTCCCTCCGCTTTGTGTGACAACATCAAGGCGCACGCCACAAATCGGAGGAGAAGCTCGGCCAAACACTAACATATGTGTAAGCGCCAATCTATTATATTATTATTATTTTTGGCAATTTTTTTGCTGGCAGTGTCCTCCATATAAAAGAAAGTTTTCGAACATACTTTGTATGAAAAAAACGTGAAACACCTTCAACCAAAAAGATCTAGACTTTTATAAAAAAAATAATAAACATTAAATAAACAAAAGACAAATAGCCAAAACTGGTAAAAATATCGTACTCCTATTATTTTGTGGACAACTGTAAATATTAAAAAAAAAAATAAGCAATGAAAAGAAATCGTAAAAAAATTCCTTGTTTCTATTATATTTTCCACCAGTGTAAGTCCCGTATAGGCGAAACGTTTTGAGGCAGTCTTTCTTTGCTCTCATCCAAAGTTGAAGGCGTTTGCCCAGTATAGGAACTCTAGATTTTTGGTACACAAAACTGTAGACGACTTGCCAAATTGCGCTATTTGAAGAGCTAGCGCAAGATAGCTATATATATCATTCAAATGTGTCTCTGAACACAATAACCCTCTTAAGGAGTTCCAGTTCCAGTTTCGAGAAACAGCGGTGAAACCAACAAAAAAAAAAACAAAAAACATCCCATGGACATGTAGTTTTCTCAGACGAGTCCTCTTTTTGGACGACAAACACCATTAAGGGTGCCTGGACCATTAACGATTAAAGGTAGCAGCTCTAACGAGCTGTGAAACATAAAAGAAAGGATGTTTCACAAATGAGGCTTTTGTAAACTAATCAACGTATAAAGCCGAAATTTCATAAAATGAATAAGTATGTAAGATTCTTCGGAACGGTTAAACAAACATTTTAATGAATTTTTCGTAAACTCCTTTATTAAAACTTTATTACCCTACAATGGGATTTGTGACACCTTCTTATCTAAAGACAGTATCCATTTTAATTGACCCCTTCGAAACTCCAGATACTCTTTACAAGAAGTTTACCTTACAAAGCTTCCGTGAAATCGCATTCCGAAAATTAAATCCAATTACGCTTTTTATTGCATCGTTGATGCAAAATATATTGAGCGCACAAAAGAAAATAAACGGTTATTTTTATGAACGAATGGTAAAAACTTTTCTTCATATCTGTTTTAATTTGCCAAGGTATGTTCAAAAGTGGAAAAAATTAGCAATTTTTTTTAATTAATACAGTATTTTCTTTAAGAATTTTTTTTTCAATAGTTGATCAATTTGCTCAAATATTGCTAATGAGTCTTAAAGTCAATTGATATCAGCAAAACGCAAAATTTTTTAGTTTGTTTAAAAAGCTTTAATTTATAGCTTCCAAACCCTTTCGAGACTCCATCTCGGAAAAGATGTCATTAAAAAAACGTGATAAAAAGGAAACCAATATGGATCGTAATATGAAAATAAAAATCAAAGTAATTTCAAAACATTTCATGTGAAAAATTATGAGAGCAAAGAGATACCTTTCCGAGCCAGCAAAATATCCTAAACGTATTCGAAAATGGAGACAATTTCTATTTTCAGTCGTTTTTCGGATACGTTCTTCCACTAAAGAGTGCATCTGCAACGTATGTACATATGTATGTCCAGAAAAGTACCGAAAATGGTTGTGAAACGGATGCGTTTTCGCCCCTTTTTCTGAAATGATTCGTTGAAAACGTTTTCATTTTGAACTTCACGGATGCTTTTTCATAATAATAGATTCAGCAATTATTTAAATTTGAATAAATGCGTCGGATGGGCCTCAATCCTGGGACCTACTGAAAGCTAACAAATAGCTCATACTCAGTTGCTGGCGGAATACGCATACATATTTTCAAAGGCTCATGCCTTTTTTATGTTTTAAATTTATCAACCTGTTAAAATTTAAAATTACACAATTTTGTTCGGAAAATTTGTCATTTTAAATTTTAACAGGCCGATGAATTTTAAAATTGATTGGCGAAACCGTGCATTATTGTTTTGTATATGTAATACGTACGTTTCTCTACTGGTTTGGTTGATTTATTAACTTCTCAATGATACCTTATGTTTGAAATGGAACAAAAAATGTTGAACTTATAAGGAATTTTGTTGACCCAAATGGGCTATTTTATCGAATTTGCCATGCCCATGAATTGGTGCTTGTTTTATAATGCATATACATACACCCCGTGTCATATTTAGAAGCGCACCACATATTGACAAGTTTTAACAAACTTTGTTTTCGTTATTTAATTTTAGTTATATTTTTATAAAACGACAGTTTACTCTTTAACAAAGACCGAAAAAATAACAGTTTCAAACTTTATGCAATATTAAAAAAAATCAACAAACTTTCGCCAAATTTTTTAGCAATTTAATAAGATTTCTTAGAAAGACTTTGAGAATGCCCACTCAATTTTTGTATAATAAAGTGCAAGTTTAAAGCAGCTAGGACTTACCGTTGAATTTGGCATTTTTTTTTTTTTGTTTAAGGTCAAAAATGGCTGTCAACAAAAAATTTTCAAAAATCAACGGTAAGTCCTAGCTACTTTAAATTTGAACTTTATTATACTAAAATTTAGTGAACTGCATAATCAAAGTCTATCTAAAAAATCTAATTAAAATGCTCGAAATTTTTACGAACGTTTGTTGATATTTTTTTTTTAATATTGCACAAATTTTGAAACTTGGACTTACTCGGTTTTTTGTTAAAGAATAAACTATTTTATAAAAAAATAACTAAAATAACAATAACAAAAAGCTAAATTGTTTAAACTTGTCAATACGTGGTGCGCTTATAATTATGACATGGGGTGTAGATATATACATATATACATACATTTTAATTTTTTCTAAATTCATAGCGAGATGCCGGATTTTCCTTTATGATCACAGGGAAAAGTTTAAACTGCGTCTTTCGTACCATCAATTAATTTAAAATTGGCTTAATAATAAAATCTTTTCAAAAGCTAGTTGAACTGGCAAAATGGGTGGAAAAGAATGTATTTTCAACGCCAGCTGCATGTACATACAATTGATGTGTATGTATGTATGTACGTATGTGGAGAAACATTAATGCGACCACATGATAAAATTTTGTTATATTTTTTAAGTTGATCTGCATACATACATATGTATGTATATGTACGTCGTTTTCATGCGCTATTTACTGCATTGTATAAAAAATTAACGCCCTACTTTCGATTATTTTATTTTATGTATGCGTTTATTTTACTGTCGCTGTTATTACTTTTCGATTGTAGCTTTATTTTAATTAGTTTACTTAATTATTAGTATAACTCCCCGCCATACTAATATTATTATTGAGTTAATCATGCCTATTACGGTATACGACGGATGCCATCCGTACGGATCTAGTCCGATTCGCACTGTCATAACAAGCGAGAGCGAAGCATTAGATTCGTGCGAATGGCATCCGTCGGATACCGTAATAGGCATTAATGTTATTGTTTACCTCCAGTGACTTCCATCTTTGTTTACTTTTGTTAATCATTATTATTATTATAATTTTTTTTTAATTTTTACTCACATGCGTATTTTGCATACTCGCGTCTTCCTTAATGTAATAATGATTTTAATTTTGAGTTTTTCAGTTTTATATTATTTTTTACATTGAAGAGAACGACATCTGATTTAATCGATTTACTTCAATGTCGTCTTTTAATTGGTTTTTACCATCATCACTAGAATTGCGAAATCTTTTCTTTGTTATTGAAATTTCGTTAGTGTTATTAAAATTGCCATTATTACACTTATTTATGTTTCTATGCTATAGGGAGCCAGCCGGAAAACTTGTAGAGCTATTACTATGCGCTAAACTTATCATTGACCCTGATAAGCTACCCTCCTCATCAGGGTATGTTTCGCGCGACACTTCGCTGAGTGATAAAGCGCTAGAAGATAAAGAACAGAAAAATAACACCAGAATAAGTATATTTATATTATGGGCTATAATATACATACATAGTGCATTCATACATACATATATATATTTAAATACATTCATATAATACCTGACCATCGAATTGCGAACCGGTAAAATTTTATGCCCAAGGCCCGTTTTCACAAATATGTTTAAACAGTTATCGTAGCAAGTGCCGATTTCAAAAACTGTAACTTTTTCGATTTTCAGTTGATATTTTCACATTGAAGTATAGTATAAATAAGACTTTATATGAATAACTTTTTAAATATCGAGTCTTAACCGCCAAAATTACGTAAGCCTTTATTTTTTTCAAACTTTTCTTTTTGATACAGAAATATTCCTAGAGCATCTAGATGCATTTCTGCATCAAAACGAGAATTTTGAAAAAATGTCGCTTACGTTATTTTGGCGGCTAGGGCTCGATATGTTTATACATGTACATATTTCGTAGTCGTCTAATACAATAGCCAACTTTGGGTCCACTTATAACGGCCAACTTTTATCTGGTTTCAAACAAATTAACTATAAACACTTATTACTCTATAAGTATTTTTTTATTAGTTAGCTGTTTTCATTTAATAATATAAACTTGTATTATCGTCCGGGGCCGGTACTAAATATGGGCCGGCCCCCCTCTAAACCTAGAATTTTTTAATAAACATGTAAACGAATTTCCAACGTTATCACTACATACTTATTCAGTTCTTTTGAAAAATTCCAAATATTTTCGTAGTATGTGGAGAATGTCTTTTTTGTTATAAAAAACTTCGTCTAAAGGGAGAATTTGTTTTGCTATACTGTTTGTGCAGATCAATTGAATGCGTAAAATAGTTTTTATTGTTTTAGTCAAATGCGTTCATTTAAGCCAGAGGTTCCCAAACTTATTTTTCTCGTAGACCCCTTTCAAAACTTTACTGGTTTCGGTGGACCCCCTGATGCTCATTTCTATTCCCAAAGCTCATCAAAAAATGTGAAAATTAAATCTAACGATTTAATTTTGCATCACGGGTGAGTTACAAAACTAAATTCGGAGTGGCAAAAATATAAACAAAATATTTTCTTGCGTTCTATTTATTAAAATAATGTGATTACACACTTACAAGGTTTAGAAAAGAGAGCTCGTAAAGCCATGAAAGAACTATTTCGCTCTGCGGAGTTATATTTTTTAAGAGCACTAAATAAACTCCCACATGTTCGGCTCACTCATGAATATGCATGTGATGTATTTGTCAAATAGTTTTTTGTGTTGATGGCATCATGCTCCGAGTTTTAAAGTGATGCGAAAAATATTCGTCAGTCGCATTTTTAAAACACAAAACTTGAAACAACAAAACTGCAAAGCTTTTAACGCAAATTCAAATTCTGAAACTGACAAAAAAGAAAAGACCGAATCTAGATAAATCGATGATAAACAAACAAGGAAGCAAGAAGTTCAAGAAGTGTTCCACCTCTTCAAAGCAGTATGGGCAAATGGAGTTGTCATTTACGCCTATCACTGTCAGGTGTTTGTGCCACGTAAAGTGACCAGTCAGCAGTCCAGTCTTTTCAGTGAGAGGAAAAAAACTAGATAGACCTTCTGAGATTGAAGGCATCATGATTTTTGCCCACATGCATCCACTCGATGGCTCCCAGTCATTGCTGAGCGAAGTATCCACCCAGTTTCTGATGGTGGCTTCGATGGCCGAAGTGGGGAGTGCTATAACTGGTTGCGGATCGAGGAATGCCTGGTCTAAGCCAACTGTGGCCAAAGGGTCAGATGTCTCATTTCCAGGCACTCCCGAGTTTCCCAGCACCCAGAGTAAAGCAGCTCTTAATCTTTACCAACAAAATTTAGTCGAGACTTGCATTGCCGAACTAGTTTGTAAGTACTTAGATAGAGGGCTGGCCAATACCTTAACGGCAGCTTGGCCTTCCCCTCCACCTATTTTTCACCACGTAGTCTATGGATTTGGGGATTGCAAATACCTCAGACTGGAAGACCGACGCATATTCCTAAAAAAAGAAAAAGTGAAGCTTATCCCCATTAACTTCGAAAAAATACTCCAGGTCCTGACCCTGAGTCAGTTTTGGAGCCATCAGTGAAGATTCGACAATGTACGTGTGCGGGCTCAGTGCTGGAATTAAACCAGCATTCTCCCTCAGGGAACTCTCTCTCTCTAGAATCTAAGTAATGGTGGCGTACTATCCTGTAGCACTGAAAAGAAAAAATAGCTCAGATCTCTGCCGCCGGCAATTTCCGCATCGCCTCAAGTGTTATACCAACATCCGTTTCTTTTTAGTCTGCAGGTGGCCTTTAAGGCTTCCCCACGCATGATGACACAAAGTGACGGTGAGTTCATCAGCGTCAAGAGCACTATACACCACTCAAAAAAATTAAAGTTAAATAAATAGGCTAACAAGCAACCATTTCGGTTCTTTACTATCGAAACCAGATACATTTTTGTTGACCCCCAACGTAGACCCCTGTCGAGTCTCCTGCGGGTCCCTGGGGGTCCAACTGGACCACTTTGGGAATCACTGATTTAAGCTCAGATAGGCTGTATGCAAGAAACTCGTCTTCTATTGATTTCTGATTTTCCCTGTTGTAAATAACCTCGAATATCTTTGAAGGTCACTCTAAAATTTCGAGCTCTAAAAATTTCATGAACTATGGAAAAATCATTACGATCACAACATTTAGACAACACGTGTTGACTTCGGAACCTTTCTATGTTTCACATTAGGCCAGATTGGCGGATGTTTTGACTAGCACGGAAATTACCTTAGTACACTTGTATGTGTATCTAGACATGCGCTTTTGCATTTATTGGATATTATAAAAGCTATGTGAATATTAAATAATCAAATTTATCTACTTAAAAAATTTAATAATTTTTTCTTCCAACTAAATTTAAGGAAAAATCCGGCCCCGGGGAAAACACCCCCACCGTATAGTCGGGCCTGTACATATATGTATAAATAAGTATACAATCGACTTGTATATATGTAATATATATAATCATTCATCTAGAACCTTATCGAAAACCTACCTGAAAATCGAAAAAGTTACCGTTATTGAAATCGGCACTTGCCACAATTTTGAACTTTACGTATTCTAACTCGGGTATCTGGCTCAAGGACACCGTGTTACATAAATTAATCAGGCACATAACAGTTATAAGTTTTATCGCAAAAACGTTGTTCTATAACAGTTATTAGATGAGAAATATTTTTCCGTTGCCGATAAGAGTTATTTCTCAACGTTAAGTTTTTACGTTGCCTCATAACAGTTACTGCCCAACGTTTATTTTTTACGTTGCCGATAAGAGTTGTTTCCCAACGTTTATTTATTACGTTGCATATAAAAGTTATTTCCCGACGTTTATTTTTTACGTAGCCTGATAACTATTATGCAGAATATATTTTTTCCGTTGCCAGTCTATATAAATATATAATTGGAATGCCATCAGATCTGCACCATTCGTTCAGTTTTCAAAAGTGGAATGTCAAATTAAAGGGGTTGCCAACTGTTACAAATCTAGCTGTAAATTATTTTATAAGTTAAATGAATTATTTTATCATGGGTATAAACCGAAATTGTTTTGACAGGGGTTTTAGAAACTGCCTGAAGGAGGGTTGCCTAGTTACATTGAAAAGTTACATTGAAATTTAATTTGGGGAATTAGGAAATGGAAACAAGTCTCACAATGATTGTCAAATGAAAGATGTATAAGAAGGTTGTAGGTTTACAATGTTTGAAAGAGGGTTGCCCCCTGTTTGAAAAGCCAAACTTAGTTAAATCTTATACATAAAGTAAAGTTTCAAAAGTGGTTTAACACATTTACTTACCTGTTTGGAGCATGTCTAAGTTATGTTTTTTTGTTATCCGATAAATAGATCCAGAGTTATGGTAAAAAATGTGAACATTATTTTTTACCCATATAATATCCCATATAAGAAAAAAACAGAAGCAAATACAACTTCCACATGTAACAAAAAACCACAAAGAGAAGGTCTTAATATAAGAAAAGACAACAAGTAAAAGTTTCATATATAAGAAAAATAATAACTAATGAAACAATTATTTTTCTGATCCTTTCGCTATTAACTAGGGATGATTTATGAAATATGTATTACATATCGGATATCACGTTACAATTTGGATATGCGGTTTAAGGAAGCCTCATGGAAAACATTTTTGAAGACGGTTACCAGATGTTTAAAAATTTTAATTCGATTAAATTTATAAGATAAATAACATATTATTACAATATGGGTATCAAACTAAAGCGGGTTAAGAAAGCTAAATTTTAAATTTTTTTAAGAGTGTTGCCATCAATAAGGGTGTCAAAATAAATGGTTTAAGAAAGCTTAGTTGGTAAAATATTTTTAAAGAGGGTTGCCACCTGTTTGAAAATTTTTATTCAATTAAATTGATAACATTTATTACATATTACACTTTTGGTATCATACGAAAGGTATCTAAGAAATCTTCGGCTTAAAAACATTTTTCGTTTGCGTTATCACCATTTTTAAATGTTAAGATTAAATACTTAAAATTAAATATTACGAGATGAGTACCATACGAAATATTAAACAGAATGCAAATAAAATTTACAAGCTCTTTGATTCAGATATTTTTCAAAACGGTTGACACTGGTATTAATTTTTATACTTAGGGAGTAAATAAAGTTGAAATACAAATTTTAAAATGTTTACGAAAAGTAAAGCATTGATTAATTCTTTGCTGGATGGTAATTGTTGTCAACAAATTTTTTCAATATGGTTGAATCAATCAACTTTTTAACATAAACATGGCACAGTATGCCACGCAAGTTACAAAGGCTGAAAATTTTCGGGATTTGCGGTGGGTTTTCTGTTTATAAAATATCTAATATTATACCTGCATTAAAAATACAAGCGTCATCTACCAATTTAACTATTTCATACTTAATCAACGTTTTACTGTTGCATTTAATTGAAGGTAAC